AGAAGTAAAAGCAGCAAATAAACATATGAAAAAATGTTCAACATCACTGGTCATTCGAGAGATGCAGATGAAAACAACCCTGAGATTCCACCTCACCCCAAAACGAATGGCTGCTATCAAGAAATCGACCAAAAACAAATGTTGGAGGGGTTGTGGGAAGAAGAGAGGAACCATTGTTCCTCTCTTACTCCACTGTTCCTCTCATTACTCATTGTTCATCATTCACTCCTCTCATTACTCCTCTCTTACTCACTGTTCCTCCCCTACTCCATTGTTGGTGGGAGTCCAGACTCGTGCAACCACTGTGCATATCAGTATGGAGATACCTCAAAGAACTAGTACTAGAGGTCCCATTTGACCCAGTTCTTCCCCTGCTGGGTATCTTCCTCAAAGAATTGAAAAAAATCATATCACAGTGATACACATACACCTATGCTTCTGGCGGCACAGTTGTAATAGTGAAAGTTTGGAAGCAGCCCAAGTGCCCATCAACAGGTAACTGGATAAAGAAGATGTGGATTTTTTATAAAATGGAGTACTACTCAGCCATAAAGAATGAGAAACTAAAGGAATATATAGCTAAATGGATGCATATCGAGGCCATACTCTTCAGTGAAATAAATAGGACACACATGGGTAAATACCGAACAGTTTCTCTGGTGTGAGAAACTGAAAGTGTAAATGATGATTAAAATGAATAACTGATAATGTGAAACAGGAAGAAAAGGTCCAAAGGGGTAGGGGAAGTAAGAGGGGTAAGGGAAAGGAAAGAAGGGAAAGGAAAAATTATGAGAAAAGGAAAAAATGGAAACAAAGTCCATGTAAATAGGGAAGGGTGGACAGGAAATGGGGAAAAAATAAGAACCGAGCTATATCACATAAAGGCACAAGCACCCAACGATAAATGTAAATGTACTCTATACGTGAACTGTACCAATAAAAGAATCTAAGGGGAAAAAAAGCAAAAAGAAAAAAAATAAAGAAAACAATTGTCAATAATCTGGGTAAAAGCCACACACATCAGTCCCTGTGAAAAAAGGATAGACGAATTGGATTCCCAAAGAATTTCAGAGTCTCTCATCTCACCTTTTGAATAAATAGTGCTGACAGTAGAAAATCAGAGGAAAAGCAGACAGTAAAAGACTCTTTGAGAATATCTGATAGACAAGTGTACATTTCTCTCTTCCTTTTGAAATTACCCGGTGTCAGCAGCTGAAGTTCTACACATCACCCCACCCGGAATAGAAGTGAATTCACATAAGGAGAGAATGAGCAGAAACTTCTCTGGCGCTGCCAAGTAACAGGCCCTTCCTCTCCAGACCTCCTAGTTTACAAATGGTGCCAAGTCCTGATGGCTGTGGTTAGCTGAGCCCTGTCAGCCTCCATGGGAAGAGTCCAAGCTGGGCAACACAGGGTGAGTCTCAGAAGATGAACAACCTCAGGGTCCTGGCTTTTTCTGCCCTCACAGCAGGATTTGTGTGGTGGCTTCCAAGGTGTCCAGGTAACCACTGAGGAGGCTTCTTGTCCTAGAAAAGGAAACATATATGTAACTGACATTGAGGCAAAGTTTGATGAGCAGCACACAGGTGGGCCTGCAGTGGTAAGAGAAGGAGTTAAAGCACCCACCCCGACAATCTTTCCAATATGTGGGATTCAGGAACTGAGACACCAGAGCCTGGGCACCTGCTGTGTGCTGGAGTCATCCCAAAGAGGACTGCAATTGATTCTCACAGTACCTTAAATACCAGCTATGATTGTCACCGTGCCAATGAGGGAACTGAGGCTGGAAGATGACAAGTAGAACGGCCCCTGGAGACTGAATTATTTTCAAGCAGAGAACTGCAACGATGAAGACTCTGAATGGGTGCTGGCCCGTGTATTGTGTCATCGGTGCCCCTTGTGTGAGAGACTCCCGCCAAATAGACGCCCTCCCTTCAGGATGCAGACAGCATTCTCCACCACCACCTGTTCCTATTACATAGATAGTACTGATCCCAATTACCTCCACCTGTTGCTCACAGTAGAAAAACTTGAATAGCACGTCTAGAATTCCCACAGCCCAGGATTTCATTTAGAAAGTAGTACAGTGCAGTCTATCTTCCTTCCGCCTGCTACTGAAAGAATTCTGAGACATTACGAAAAGATTAAAACGTTGGATGTAAATTGTTAAGCTCAGCTCTTTACAATCAGAAAATTTAAACACAGTGAGCTTGTCTGTTACAGTGACAATCACCTCGAACAGAGGAAGACAAACAATAAATGGACGAAGTCAGGGCTTAGCAGGATCTGCACTGAGATCTATGCCAAGAGTACTATGCAGAGCCCACGAACTGATCTTAGCATGGCTGACAGTGCCTTAGCGAGCGAGACGTTCTGTAAAGGGCTCTCCACACCATTCTAAATGACGATAGATGTGACTGGAGATTGGTACTGACCTCTGCCCAGCTCTTGTCACCTGACACCAGTCAAGGTTGCTCCCATTTGCCCACTGCTCTGTGCCGCTGGTGCTGTCTCCACTCCTTTGGATGACAGGGTCACAGACTGACCAGTCCTGGACTTTTCCACTACGGGCCTTGAGGTAGGTGGTGACTGTAGAAAGATGCAAAGACATTTGCCTGTGGGTGGACAGCCGACTATCAGTGTAGACATACTCAGCACTGGGAAATTCATTCTGTAAGTGACGAAAGGACACATACTACTTTTATGTAGAACAATGTTTGCAACCTGTGGTGGACCTCAGTGCTCCATTTCGCAGCTTGTGTGATGCTGGACAAATGAATGAAAGGTATGGTAGGATTACAGGGCAGAATTACAACACATGTCTCTGAGAGATAATGCCACAGATTTCCTAGAAGGGGAAGCTCAGAGAAAACATTATTCTTCTCATTCAGGAAAAGTTGATTGACTTACTCAAAACTATGAACAACAAATCTTAGAAAACATTATTCTTGTCATTCAGGAAAAGCTGATTGACTTACTCAAAACTATGAACGACAAATCTTACAGAGGGGTTTGCGTGCTCTCACTTTGCTACCAATTAGTGACCTCCATATTTCATTCAATAACACACATCAAAATTTTTCCAAACCGGTTTTGAGTCTTCGTTTATAACCAAATACTGACAGTTAAAATAGTCTGCAAGAAATAGTTTGCAACTACACATTTGTAGTGTTATTGTCAATGATCTCTAATATAATACGTTGGAAACTGTCTTACATCAAAAAGAGATCAAATAATTGCTAACATTTTCATGAAGATATCCTTATGTTTAATAACGTTACCATCACTTGACAGCCTATATAATTCTCTGAGGAGAAAATGGAAAAATACTGCCTGGTTGCTAATATAATGTAAATGTTATGGCTTGTGTCTAGATGGCCCCCAAATCCTCATGCTCTTTCACAGGTGGCTGAATCTAGAGTGTGACTGATTCCTGGAGGCGCCAGGCCCGAGGGCACTAGGATTAAGGACTTGAGTGCTAGCAGCACTAAGTTGTCTGAATAAGATGAAAGGGGCAGAAAGACACTGCTAAGTTCTCTGTGGTTTTGCTGTCTTCCCCTGCCACAAACTTTTGCCCCTTGCCACATGCCACCCTGTCTTGGAGCCAGCCAATTATGAAATGAAACCTCTATGAAATGTGAGCTAAGTAAACCCTTTCCCCTTGAATTTGGAGTGTTGGGTATTTTATCTCAGACAGGAGAGAAAAGTAACCAACACAGTAGATTTGGTGGATATGCTCTTATACCATCAAGACAGTATGGGCTATGAATATGTAATAAAAGTGACTTCTGACTTCATTCCACAGACATTATGCAAGGCTCTGGACTGTACCTAAAGAGACAAGACTAAGAAGATGAATTAGCATCCCAGGTTCTCAAATTTGCTTTCCTACCTATCACAAAGTACATAGATAAAGGGAAATCAAAATAGGAACAATCAATCTTCTGATTCCTAAAAATAATTTTGTTGGATGATTTTTAAAGATCATTCATGATTACCCATGTAGGGAGGGTTGCAGCCACACTCCACAACACTTGCATTCATACCGATGGATATAGAGAAGTAGGCATTGCCCATCCCTTACTCCCCTATGTGTGCACATAGACATTATGACACAATCAGCCAGGTAGCCAACGGGAGTGGACGGGACATGCCAGATAGGGGACAAGTAGCCTCTTCCACCAATTCTCATCCTGACCTCCTTTGCCCTACACCGCTCGTTTTTATCGTCTTTAAACATAGAAATTACATGAGTATTTCTTTCTAGGAATAAACACCTGCAAACAGGGACCAAAGCCAAGTTTAAAGAAAAACATCATTAAATATACAACTATCATTCAAAAATCAAACGGTGGGTAGCAGTTGTCTGTCAGTGGTAGAGCATATCGATACTATGTGTAAGACACTGACCGCGATTCCCAACACCAAAACACTAAAATAAATAAAAATTAAAACATGAGTCACGACTTGCAAGTGTCACTCACTCCCAATATCTAAAATCCCTCTGAAGGAACCAGACCACCACCCTTGCAGTCACTTCGGCCCCTTCCGCTGTAAAGTCCTATGGTCTTTAGTTTTCCTTTCCCAGAACAAGCAGCCCAGGCTGGTAAGGCACAGAGACCACAGCTTTCCCCCCCAATCTCAGATAATCTGCAGCCAGCAGCTCTGACAGCCTAATGACCACTGACCTTGAGGGAACGTGGCTCCCCAGCCCAGCCCATAAGCAAGCACAACTCCCCTTCACCCCCTGGCTCCACAGCCTCACCATAAAGGCAACTCCCTTGGTTGCTCCTTCTCTCCCCACAGACAGCAAGAGAGCTGCCTTTCCGGTCACTTTAACAGGATCCGGGCCTCACAGGCCTCTAATAAAGCCCTGTCCTTGGCTGTGGAGCTGCTTCCTTCCTTTTCCTAACACCCTCAATCTGTGAATTTTCTCTTTTTTAATTAAGACTTCACCAGGCTTTCCTAAGGAAGCTGATGCAAACTCCCCAGAGAGAATTTTCTTAAATCACTTGAAATTCAGCATGAAATTGGTTTGGGAAATGAAATTCTAAACAATGCTCACTGGTGATCAGTACCCAGCACTTCCAGACTTTCACTGTCACAAAACAACAAACACTGCAGGCAATGAACAAAGATGTACTACATACATGAAAACACCAAAATTTCTTAAGTTTTAGCAGATTTATATCAGACAGGCAAGACTACAACTTCGAGTATATGTAATAATCAAACAATTTAGTGTAAAATGAAAGGAAAGTTAAGCTACCTATTAATTTGACATCAGTAACAGTGATTAAAGGAATAGTTACAACACCCATTACAACAAATTTTCCCTCAGTTGTCCACTGAAGATAACAAAAATCCCTTTAACCTTTACTTATGAAAGGGGCAAGAACCACATTTAATTGAATGCAATGATTCGAAACACACAATTCTTCTGTAAAAAAATATCCCCTGGTTTCACTGCCACCAAGGACAGATGGCTAAGAGCACTCGGTGTTGTACAATATCAAGAAATCAGCCAACTGATTAAGAAATGCCAGTTCAAATCAAAACTATCTCCACGCATTTGCTTTCAAGGCCACTTACCCAGCAAGAACAACACTGGAAACCTTTTAACAAATAATTATATCAAACAAGAAAATAAAATATGATATAAAAGCACTCCCACAGAAATTAATTTTCTCTCTGTAAATTGTTACTTACAGAAAAACTTTTCAAGGCACTCAACGGAGATTGGAGAAAAAAAACATAGTTGGATGCAATGAGATTAGATACATAAGATACTCAACTGAATCCAATCCCGTTTACCAAAAGGGGTTAACTGGCATCCAGGGCAATTGTAAAACTTCATGTGCCCATGCAGAAGATGTATTTCAAAAGGTGCAAAGAGAAAACACTTTTGTTTAAAAAATACTTGTGGGGAAAAGCCAAATCAAAATTATAGTCAAATGACTGCTATGTCATGCAAAAAATCTCCACACAATAATACTGTAAAATGATAGAAAATATAGGGTTCCTGGGAACTTTAGTCCCTTCAGGGTCTTAAAGCCACAACTTCTTGCCAAGCAGTCCCCTACTTACACATTCAGAAAGAGTTAATAATACCAAGCTTTATAAGGATTACGCTTGGTTGAATAAAACAATGTTACATACATAACTATGTTGCATAAATATGCACAATTGGGCTCAATGAAAAGGGTCCGGCTATTCAAGGTGCTTTGTGAATAAGACAAATATCAATTTTCCCAGTTTTGCATTAAAATCATTAGGAAATTTTTCTGTCTTAAAACAGCATATGAAGAAGATGGATTGTGATCTTTAACCAAACTAATTACATATATCTACATATATATATATATATATGTATATATATTTTTATACCAGGGATTGAACTCAGAACCTTGCACTTGAGAGGTAGGTGCGCTGCCACTGAGCTAAAACCCCGGGCCCCAAATTTAATTAAATTGTACTATAATTTGTATACTATAAGCTGTACTATATTTTTAATCATACTATCCTGTTGGTACAGGAAATGCAAACCTGTTTCCAAAGGCAGCTAACAGGCATCAACAGTCATAATCCCACAATGGATCCATTAGAAAGTTAATGTGCTTCTGTTTAGGGTGAAAATAACACAAATATGATCTCTGATTAAAAAAAAATCCAATGAAAAATGCCAAGTGGAAAATTTTTCAAAAATACATGTTAGCAATATCTATCCACGGACTCTGTCAAATTAAGGCAACATAAGGTCTCTAGTGGCCAACAGCCGCCTTGGTCCTGGGCTGGCAACTGCTCAAACCACCTCATCAGCTGTTCCCTTATTTGTAACATCACAACACAAAACCTAACTGTTACCAAAGAAGGGATCACAGACCGATATTTAAACAGAC